CAAACCAGACTACGAACGAATAGCTTCAAATGTGTTCACAAGGTGATCATCAAATAGCTGTTGCCAGGTATTCACCACAGCATCCCACTGAAAGAACATTAAAAAGCAAATTAGTGGGCTTCCTTACATGATGGACTTCTTCAGATTTGAAAATAACAAACTTTACTTGAAAGGGACCGCCATTATAAAGACTTTGTATATTTCATTAAATTATTCCTCATAGCAGTCATCACCACCTTATTCTCTTATAAATCATATTACTGATAGTGTGATCTGCTTTTCAAACATTTTTAATTACCCTAAAAACATTTGACATATCCTACATAACTTGTGTATTGATAAGTTTGTATTGTAGCATCCTGTTGCACTCTTCCACTTTATTATAAATCTTATATTACAGTCTTATGTGAAACGATTTATTAACTTTACATTTAAAATTTGACACTTTAAAAGTTTCATATAAGACAGTAAAATAAGATTTATAATAAAATTGTATATTGATGTACAGTTTCATAAGTAATGAATGATGACAATGACATTTGTTTGATCACAACTGGGATCTTGGGACAATTACTTCAAAAATTAGCTCTCATTATTCTCACTAGCCACTTCTCTCATAACAGAACATAATTCATAGTATAGAGTGCAGTGGTCCTTACCTGTAGCCAGTACAGTGTTGTGGCTTGCTGCAATGTGTAGTGAAATCACTTTCCAGGAAATGTTTGCTGCACAAATATTTATTGTGCAGACTTCTAGCAGAATCAACAATGAAGGTTATTTCAACCTTTCCTGCCCATACCGCAGCCCTGTAAAAGTAGAACAAATAGTCTCAAAACCTAGAAATAATTCTTCAGTAAACATTACAAACTTGGTACACATTCTAAAATTTTGGGTTATGTTGAATAAACTGAACACAGACATACACTAAACTTAATTTATTCATTGGATTAAGCAACACATAGTAATTACACCATTAATTAAAACAGACATACCGTGCTGGATCCCTTGGAAAGCTGAAGAATTTGATGCCTTGCTTGCTGGATGACAAGCACCCACCAGCAGAACATGATTTTGTTTTCATGTTTACACTGCAAGAAGCAATACAAAAATTATAACACCATCGCAGAACTTTTAGAACTCTTTAAGATTCTACAGACAATCTTTGGGATGAACTGAAAGTTGCAGAAAATATCATAAAACAAATATCGTTTAGATGACAGTTCATGATAACCTCAAAAATTTTAGGCTTGAAAGAATTCTATATGTTTCTAATTCCATTTGTGGTACTATGCATAATATTCACATACACAAATAATATGTTTAACATGGAGCTGTAATTTCGTTTGCAAATGTCTACTTTCGTTTCGCAACCACATCAAATCAAAATTCATACTTACCAATTTGCATATAATGCACTACCATAACCGCATGTAATTGTGGGTATTCAGATTGGTTTGTTTAAGCTCTCTGATTGGTAGAGATCTGCCTCCACACACATAGAGGCAGTAGTTACTGTGTTTCCCTTTCCCCTATCCCAGTTGCCACCCCCTGGCCTAATCCTTCCAGCAGCAGTATGGCCCTGGGGTCAACAGAAATGAATAAAAGGAATCTTCCTGGAGGTGAGGGTGGCTGGCATGTAAGGCTGACAACCTTACCGCCATCTGTGAGCTGACTGTCTAGAAAATGTGGGAACCTCAACATCTCACAAACCTATAGGCCTCCACTGCCTGTTACAGAGATAGCTTTACATTTATTTTTTTTACAATATCTGTACTGACAGAACTTCTGCTGTGCAAATACTGATGTGTTTTGTCATTGATCTGAAAGTTAATTTCTGCATAAAATCATAATAACATATTGCTTAATGCTATTAGTGTTTTAGTACCACCTATGATGTGATTGGCCACAGTACTGCTGCCACATATGTGATGGCCTGATCCAACGTGGATCCCAACTCACACATCATCTTCACATTCATCACAGCATCTGCCAGCCATTAGAACAATACAGATTCAGGTTGGTACAGCTCACAAGAAGTTACTTTTGTCTGTGTGAGGATAACATTGCACCACGACCTACCCACAGAAATCACTACACCTGTGATACAGCTGTGAGCACTACATTCCCACAAGAATACAGACATTACAGAAGAATTTGTGGCACTTCCTAAATTAAGCACCTTCTGCCTCCAGTATAACTCTGTTGATCTACTGGTGTATGGTTGTGCAAAATTTGTGCTTACGTAAGAAGAAAAAGATTTGGTGTGTGCAGTGGAAGAGATTCAAGAGAACAGACGTTTCACCATTTCATCACTTTCCCTGCATTTTCCACAAATTTCAAGGTCACTTCTTCATGAAACTGTGTCTGATAAACTCTGGCACATTGCCGGAAGCAGAAAGAATAATGCCANATGAAAGATTGGAATCATACTATAAAAAGTACTGTATGACATTAACGAAAGTGATAAAAGAAGCTAAGAAATTGTACTACCAAAAACTTATAAGTAACTCGGAAAACAAAATACAATTAACCTGGAAGATTTTTAATAAAGAAACTGGGAAAAGGAGGGGCCCAGATAATATAACCGAACTGAAAGTGGGGAAAAGCAAAGTAACTAATACTAAGGAAGTAGTAGAAGTATTCAATAAATACTTTATAACTGTAGCTGAGAATCTGGAAACGAAAAGTGCCAATAAAAACGAAGCTATTAAATTCTTAGACACTTTGAAATTTGATAAATTCCCTGAACTGAAGTTAATACCTACAACGGAGGTGGAAATAATGAGCATACTTATGTTGCAAAAATCAAAAGATTCTACAGGATAAGATGGCATTTCTAGTTAGATATTGAAATACTGTATAACTGAGATAAGCAAACCATGGTGTCACATATTTAATGCATCTTTTGAGCATAGAATATATCCTGATAGAACGAAATTTGCCTCATTAAGACCTATATATAAAACAGGTGAGAAGGTAATTATGGCAAACTATAGACCAATATCATTGCTAATAAGTTTTCTAAGATTTTTGAAAGAGTGGTGTACAATAGGATAAAGCAACACATATACATACAAACAATTTAATGTCCTTTGCACAGTTTGGACTTAGAGAAAACAGTAACACAGAAATGGCAATATATACATTAACTAATCATATTTTAGAAACATTGGAAAGACGCAATCATTCGTTGGGAATTTTTTGTGATTTGACAAAAGCATTTGACTGTATGAGTCATGATATTCTTCTGAGTAAATTAGCAACATATGGCATTGGTGGTAAAATGAAAATATGGTTGAAGTCCAATCTGGATAATAGAAGACAAAGAGTTGAACTCTATAATAATTAAAATAGAAAATGCTGTTCAGAGTGGGGAACTGTCAAATATGGAGTGCCACAGGGCTCAGTTTTGGGTCCTGTGTTGTTCCTTTTATATATTAATGACCTGCCATCAGCATTAAGTACTGACAACAAGTCACTGTTGTATGCTGATGATACAAGTATATTAGTGTCAGGTATTAATATCAATGAAATTCAAGAAAGGTCTAAACTTACATTAAATTCCTTAAGTCAGTGGTTTAAATACAATGGCTTATCCCTAAACTTGAGGAAAATTAAAGTGTTAATATTTGAAACAATCAATCGTGACAATATGCCTGTACATTTAAAGTTTAACGATGAACTATTACAAGAGGAAACTCATATTACATTTTTGGGCATTGAAATTGATAAGTTCTTGAATTGGAAGACACAGGTTGAATCACTGTTACCCAGATTGGGAAAGGCATGTTATGCAATACGCATTATGAAAACATACAGTAATGTTACAACACTTATAATGATATACCATGCATACTTTCATTCACTCATGGAATATGGAATAGTTTTTTGGGGTAATTCGTCAGAGGCCAAGAAGACTATTAGAATAATAATGGGGATGAAACATAGAGAGTCATGTAGGCCAGCATTTATAAAGTTAAATATATTAACATTGGTGTCTCAGTATATTTTATCTTTGATGACTTTTATGATAAATAACTTGGAGTATTTTGCTTTTAATTATTCAATTTATGAGAGACCGACAAGACATGAAAGAAATTTACATGTCCTACAGTCACATCTCGCAATGAGGCAGAAAGGAGTAAATTGCATGAGTATAAAAATATTTAACAGTCTGCCTGATTATTTAACTGATTTAGTACATGATAAAAAAGGTTATAAAAGAAATAAGGGATGTCCTAATACATAATCCGTCATATACTGTTGATGAATTTTTGCTCTTCTGTCAGGATCAACAGCTAAGGAATAGAAGGGGAGTGCATGCTGACTGATGTCTCACATTAGGCATCAATATAGACATTAAGTGTAAGTGTAAGTTAAGGAAGGAGAATTATTATGTATTGCTAATTATCTTGTTGGTATAATTGTATTTGTAACATTGTATCTATTTAATTGAGGTATTCAGTTTAGATTCTAACTATGGTCAAATTGATGTCTCTGCGATTTTATCTGTGACTGTCTTGTGACTGTTGTTTGACAAGTTTTATATTCAGTGCCAGTTGCACACTTGTGAATACTCTGAAATGCTGATGTATGTATGTAAATCCTCTGACAACAAAATGGGGGAATTTAGAGCACATATTTAACCCTTCAATGCCCATCTCTAAAGACCTTAAACAAGCAAAAAATCTTTTAGTGTTCAGTTCACAAGTGTTATGGCACAGCGCTTCCTATGACTGCTCTACAGTCTTGAGGTGTGACACATTTCCAAGCACTGGCACCCATATTTTTCCTATACCACCTGAGAGCAATGCTAGGTACTACTCCAAAATGGCTGATATGAGACAGGTAGCAGATTCGCCTAATTAATCAGAACCTTAATTTTATGCAACTTCTATCAGTTAATTTAATCAATTATAGCAAAAAAGGAAATCAGTGCTGAAGTCAGTTCTTTAGTTGTACACACTAAACTGAGATGATGGGCCTCTCAAAATCAAGTAATTGCATTATATTAAGATTTAAACAGCCCTTTCACTGCTAAACTAGGGAGCACTGTGGTGACTCCCAAATGCTTTAGGTTCATAAGCTGAGGGACATTCATTTGTAGTTCCTTAAGTTCTTAGAAACATCTTCATTTTGCATACATTACATGGGAGCCATGATGCTAGCAACATGTTGGTGGAAACAGGCAGCAGTTAAAAATGATTATTTCTACAATAACAGTACTCAGAATATGAACAAACACACAGTATGGGACCCATATCTGGAGAACTTGGGACCAAAGGTTTTCCAAAAGGATTTTCTGAATTCTCGGTCCCTTGGCCAAGATGACTGTGTAACACATGTAACTTCAACAATTAAAAACATTTAAAATTTGCTTTACCTAAAGAGTGCTTGAAGCTGAACAATGAAAGACAGAAGTATCATTTTTGTCACTGGAACGTCTTTAGGCTTTTTCAGTATGACTTGTAAAGCTGTTTCATTCATTTACAGATGGAGAAACCTTCTGGATTTTCAAATTTCAACTACAGGGTCCCATAATATAATTTAAAGTAATCCCATAACATGACAGAAATTAATGGCCATGTTCAGAAATGTATAAAATATATACAATACACACAATGAGGCCAAGACTGGAGTCAGTACACTAACCTGCAGCATGGATGGAAACCTGCACAAAGTCAACAAAGTTATGGGATAATTTACGCTTATAGCATAAGAAAAATATGTTACACACAGTCATTTGAAGCTGTGCAGCAAACTCATCTTCCAGCTGAACCACTTGCATGCAAAGGTGCATGCAGAAACAGGCTACTACTGCTGGCTTGTACTGGAGGCACATGGTGGTCAGACATGGGCTGGAAAAACAGAAAAAAATAAACAGTCATCAGTATAACAATATTCCACCCACACCTCACAGACAATGTAAACTACATATACAGCATAATTCCCCATCAGCAATTCAATGACAGAAGTGCTCACTGATTCTCTGGCTCAATCATATTTGTACATGACAGTGAAATGCTGTTTGACTTTCATGAGGCAAAATGACTGAAAAATGTGGACTGAATTAGAGAGCATAAAGTATGATATGTTACACAACAGAGAACATACGCCCTCAATTTGAGCCAACGACTAACCTCTTGAGCTATGGCATGGCCTGTCACAATTAAAAGCCTCCATTCAACCCAAAACACTTATGGTATGTGTGCTAGGTGATTCGGATGAGTGAAAGCTGAAAAGTGGCAACACGAACATAGTGCCTTACCTGTACACCACCTTTGCTACATCCTTGCTGGCTGTGGGTTTGTTCTGGCAATTCGAAGCATAAGGCCTATGCACATACACTCGATCACTGCCTGGCAAGTAGCCACCGGGAACAGAAAGCATTGAATCATATGAAGTGCATATGCACACAGTCATCTATTAACTATGATGTCCAAACACCGGGAGGTGTTCCCACTTTAATTTAGCCACATCAACATGCAGGAACAACTTCCAGGTGGACGCTGTTGCTGTATATACAGCAGTGAACACCGCAGGAAACCAACATATTTATTATAAAGAAAATAATGTTTTCAAGTCCACAAACACACTAAATGAGATCAAAATTAGAACCCCCTTAAAAAAAAGGACAAAACTGAAATGCTAACATTAAGCAAACATATTTGCAGTAATTATTTTGTTGAAATTACTGACCTGGGGGATGACATGCAAATGTGAATATGCTTCTTGCCTAATTGCCCATGCAGAAACACAAAAGTAATGGAAGAAAGATTCAGTCACTCAACTGTTAAGCTATGGAGTTTCTGTAAGTGACCAGTGAGCTAGTAACGAATTTCTGAAGCTCTGCAACCATGGCTGATTCATATACCAACAATATGACATACACTGTCCATTGCCTGAAGTATGCTGATATAAACAGAGTCTCAAGAGTTGACTACTCCTGCCTTCTGGTGACTGTTTGTCATTATACTGACAGATATTTTATCATTTCATAATTAGAGGAAGTGGTTAGGAGTTGGTATAGCGAGCGGTATATTTACAAATAATGATGATGAAGAGCAAAAAAAAAAAAAAGAATTGCATTTTTAAAACTTATTTTTAATAAGGAACAAATCGTTATGTAGAACAATTCCTAAAATAATGATTGGAGGTTTTGTTTAAACCAAGAACACGTAATTTGCAGCTTTGAAACCAGTGACAGTGAATCAAATTTATGCTGTGTTTTAGCTGATGTGGGGATGGTGGTATGTTTTGGCAGATTCACGCACTACCACATCCCCCTCAATTACTGAAGTAACATACTGTGATGTATTTGCTGTATGCAGGAACTGTTGAGCCACAGAGGCCTTGGAGGATGCACACGTGAGAGTTGCAGACTGTATTGGTACGTTGCTACTCAACAACTCCGTGAACACTTGGATTGCGTAACAGGAAATGTAAGTGACGTCAAATACGCCACTCATCCCGTAAATGCACAATGCTCAGTAAACACCCCCCTGTGGTGACATAACAAGAGAGAAGCGGTGGTAGGCACACACTTCCCACTGTGATGTAGCAGGGGACACTGCTGTTACCATAGGGCAACAGGGAACAGTATAAGAGGCCAGCTGAATGGTATGTGAGAGAGAGAGGATTGTGAAGCCAGAGAGAAGACAGTGGTAGTCTAGCAGTCGCCAAGAGCAGTGGAAGTTTAGCAGTCACCGAGTGCAGTGGAAGTCTAGCAGTTGCCGAGTTGTGTTGTATCAAGTGCATGGAAGTGACTACAACAGAAGAAGTAATAGGGACAATGAAACTGTGAATTGTGTAAGAGCAAGTGTACAATAAATTCACCACATCCAAAACAGCATGAAGTTATTTGTCGTGTCACACACCCAACACATGACAATACATTACATACATACATTCTACAACTATGAGTATTACGATATTTACCCATAAGATTTGATTGAAATTGTGTAAATTATGGTAATTTCAGTCCATGCATATACAGGCTAATTTGTAAGTCCTCTGGAAATTCTAAACTTGGGAGTGCAACAACCGAGACAGACACAGCAGAGAGGAGCACATCAGTGCGTAGAGAATCTCTCCAAGTTTGTTCGGGTAATGGGTGCCATGGTGAACTTGCAGGTCTCACTGCTAGGCGACAGTAATGATGAAACATGGTGAGGACAGGGGATAAGAAAGCATTCTGTCTTGGAATTTGCCAAAACTGGGTCAACTGTGAAGATGCAACAGAGGTTTCAGCCCTGGACCTGCTGCAACCATGTCTAATACAACAATTACAGGAAGACGGTGAGGATTTCATTTTCAAACAAGACGAAGCCCTGCCACACTTCCATTTTGACATCTGTACTCACCTCACTGCTAATTTTCCCCATAGCTGGATTGGGTGCACTTCTAACAATGACTCTCCTTTTCTTCCTTGGCCTCCACAGGACCTTGACTTTCAAACACAAGTGCATATGAATAATAGAGTAAGGAAAGGTCAGTGAGTTACTGTGTAACTTCCTGAAAATATGATTTTGGAGGCAGAATGGAAAAGTATAGACTAGGAGTCTGAAGTGTCTAAATCGAATTCTAAGACTTGACCTAGGTAACATAAAAGGCACAATAGATCACTGAAGGTCACGGTGCAAAGACCAGCAGTTGGGCACATCCCTTATGTATTATTACTACTACTACTAGACAAACATCAATACTATGACATATCGACCCACTGCTAGGCCACTCAGTGGTAAGATGTCATACATCAATAGGCAGGTTGTGTTTCTGCTGTGGTCCATGCCAAATGGTTATAAAGGACAACAGAAGAAGTGTTTTCTTTGTGGTCCGCACCATGCCCAGTGCTAGGCAGAGGGCCAATAGACACGCATAGACATGACACGTGCTTTGAGTGCTGTGAGGTCCGTGCTGCGAATCTATAAGGAAGACAGTTTGAAGGACGTCAGAAACAAGAGAATGGGAATAGAACGGATTACAACAGAGGGTACGAGAATGAGAATTCAGTCAGCTGTTGGTAGGACTTGCCACAGGAAGTTGTTAGTTAAAGAACAATAAGAAGTAAACATGTCAAGATTTAGTATGTGATTTAATCACAGTGAGACTGCTTTAATTCCATTACCAGGATATGACTACTGAAGACTTAGAATCCTAGTGCATGTTTAATGGTCAACTGTAAAGTTGTCCCTGTGCTTAACTAATTAAGCAGTATCCCATGAAGGCATATGTGGAAATGGATGTATAGACCCATATTTTCTTGACCTTGGCACTAGCTGGAAGTGAGGGGACAGCTTCATGCCCCGACCACTTTACCCCAGGGGAAAGATCCCCTGGTAGTTATTGGATAAGGGGCTAGGTGGGCCCAGAGCTGGTCTGGACGATGGGGAGAGAAAATTCTTGACCCTTCCCAAACTCGAACTCAAATCCCTCTGTCATCCACCTCGTAGCCAGTCGCTATACTGACTATTTAAATCAGTGATAGTGCCATATTGCTTGTTAAGTATGAGCTCATTGTATAAGGCATTAAAAAATCTATTCACCAATCCAAACGCCATCTATAGTCACTAATACACATGACAATATCTAGTAACTTAGAAATAACAACAAATGTGTCCATTAAGACTGGTACCTTCAACTTAAAAAAATTTCTTCATGTAAAATTAAGTCTAATTTGATCAAACATTATATTCTCTTAACTTTTCTTATTTATTTTCTTAGGGTACTTCCGCTTAGGGTACAGAATGTTTTAACTGTGCTGTATATAACATCTCATGATGAATGTTTATTGTCAAAACATGTGGTGTGTAGTTATAAGCAAGGAATAAGGAACTATTTCAGCTTAAGTGTGTGCACCAACTACTCCCAGACTTTAAAAACTTCTCCTTGGCATTTTGCTCTCAGATCCTTGCAACCTAAGGGCTTCCTCCTAGGTGGAATCCTATATAAAAACAAGTAAAATTACAGTTGTGTATTTTATCTCTGTATTTTTAGACAACAGATGGGAATACAGAAGATTCATGCCTTCTCCAAATTCAGTCTGATCTCTACTTATTTTCCTATAAAATTCTGGGTCCTGGAATAAGTAAATTTTGCTACAGTTTCTAAGGATATATTTGGCATCTTTGGTAATAAGACATGAATATAAGCTTACTTTTCCCTGGAGTGCAATAAAATAGCCTGACAAACTGAGTTATCATAGTAGACCCAATATTTGAACTTGGGTATCTATTAATAAAAGATGAGAATTTTGGAGTCAACCTGATATGCATAAAACAGAAGAACAAGTCATGAAACAATAGCGTAATTACAGGAGGGGCAGGGGGAAATAAAGACAATGGTGAGTGTGAAGATAAGCACAGAGGATGGAAAGACAAGAGAGCAGAAACAACCTAGGAAAGAAGAAACATCCATGAATTGTGATGCTGCTGATAATCACATCACTACCACATGAATGCAAAAGTGAGGATAAGAAATAGCCATTATTTATTATCTTTAATTGTCCTGATGTTCATTGCCACAATAAAATAAAGATTCAAAGTGTGTTGTTATTTCTTTACGCCAAACACAGTGGCTGTACACNGGCAATTCCTATGCAACGGCCCACTATTATTGCATTTCCGTGGAAGTATACTTTCCGGTTTCATCCGTTGTTACGCAACGGAACCTCTGCTGCTTCCTCAGCATGTATTTGAGCCTTTCTTTGTCTCTTTCGCTATTTCGCTGATGCCCGTTCTTCCCCAGTTTGATTTACAAATACTCGACGCATTGCTTCTGCTCCGTGAGTACGACGACCTAAATTTGATCTTCTGTGAGGCATTATTTGGATGAACTAAAGCAGATCGATTGCACTGAAGAAGAAGAAAGAAAGTTATAACAAAAACATATAAAATTGCAAAACATTAAAAAAGGAGAGAACACAGACTGGAAAACAAAGAAACAAAAAAAATACTAACGAAATATTTCAATTCAAACGCAGATCAATCGACACACCTCAATCACACTGCCAATTGCACTGAAAAATAAGGAGAACAGTTAAGAAAACGAAATGAAAAACACTGAAAAATAAACTATACTCACGAAATGAACGCTATGGTAAATGACACAGCCCAATTCCAACGCAACATCACATGAAATAACTAAATCAAAATGAAAATAAATCGAAATCTATAAAAATCCAATTTATATTTATATAGGTGTAACGTGTTTGGGTACATCATGCGAGTATTTATTGTTCTTCGCTTTTATACTTATACACTTTGCAAGAATTGCCATTTGCAGTATCAAAACTAATTCTATTTCGCTTAGCTCCTGGCCCAGTGCTTTGCTGTCTATGTTGTAGTGGCTGGATCTCGACTGTCTCTGACGGCGGCTTCCTGTAGACTGTTTATATTCAGCGTTTCCATGGAAATATACTTTCCGGTTTCATCCGTTGTTATGCAACAGAACTTCTTATCCTCTGCAAATGTTCTTGCGTTACTATGGAAACGACTGCTGGATTCCGAACATGTGACATGTTTCTACCTGTTTTTACGTGTCACAGGTGTGACATCTATATAATAGGTATACAAAAACGCGCGTGTTCGAATGCAACGTTGTGTCAAAATTTCAAAGCAATCGGTGAAGAAGTTTCGGAGTTCTTCGAAGGTTAACAAACCAACACTGTTTTTACGTGTCACAGGTGTGACATCTATATAATAGGTATACAAAAACGCGCGTTCGAATGCAATGTTGTGTCAAAATTTCAAAGCAATCGGTGAAGAAGTTTCGGAGTTCTTCGAAGGTTAACAAACCAACATTTACGTTTTTATTTATATAGATTACATGCTGCGATTTTTATGTACAGTAATGTTGTATTCTAAGAAATTAAACATAAATTATTTACTCACAGTTGTTGTTATATCATAGTTTTCATTATTGATTTATTTTTATTTTTCTCGCATCTGCGCAGCTTCTTTCATATGCTTGCCCCCTACCACTACTTCCGCATACACCTTATCTTTACCTCCCCCCTCCCTCCC